CCGCGTGTGTGCGCGAGTGCGTGTCTGCACTGTGTGCGTCTGTGATAGAGACTGGGAGAAAGAAAGCAAGCGTGATTTCCGTAGCCTACATAAAAAAGGTGGAAGACATGGAAATAGTTTGTCATTTTTTACCCTATTGTTTGTTATATTTATTTGCTCAATGTCTTGAGCAATGCGTAAATCCGGCCCTGTTAGACGGCAATCGGAAGTTATTACAAACACTCGATGGTGGTTTAAAGTGAGTTTTGAGTAAAAGCGGAATATAAATCTTATTTATTGTCTTATGTAGCATGATGCTACAGTTTGCATGAATGGTCACATAACACGCGCTTTCGGTCGTGTTTCGGTCGTAGTATGAATGGACATCTGCTTATGATCGGAACTCCACGCAGCTCCCGCGCTACTCTCCATTGGAAATTAATGACCGGTCTGTCGCTTGTCGTTTGTCGGAGATAGTGGAAAGCCGACTTGAAATGCAGTGGAAACGCCAGTACGGTGAGGATAGTTTTCATTTTAGAACATAAACGCACCAGTGTAAATGTAGCCTTACATCTAAGGGGGCTGGGACGCATTCACACTACAGCCTAACGTGTGCGCCACTCTCTGGGTGTGTTCGACTTGACGCGGACCGACTGTGCAGACCGACTATTACAGTACCACGAGAGCTACAGAGAGCAGACCGCCCCGTGCGCTTTCGAATCGCTCTCGCGGATGATCGATCTGCGCCGCGCCTCTAGTCGAACACACCGGCTAGTGCTGCAGGCTTATTGGCTCACTGACGCTGATGAGATTAACCCCTTAGGTATCGAAATTTGGTACCGAACGACGAGACGTTTTTCGATACTCGATGGTATCGAGGCAATTCGGTCGGTGCCTAAAAAGTATCGCACTCGATACTCAGCCCTAGACCTGCGCAATAATCATGCTCTCTAATCAGCATCTTGATATGCCACACCTGTGAGGTGGATGGATTATCTCGGCAAAGGAGAAGTGCTCACTAACACAGATTTAGACAGATTTGTGAACAATATTTGAGAGAAATAGGCCTTTTGTGTACATAGAAAAAGTCTTAGATCTTTGAGTTCAGCTCATAAAAAATGGGGGCAAAAACAAAAGTGTTACGTTTATAATTTTGTTCAGTGTATATATATATATATATATATTTTTTTTATGTTTCTGATAAAAAAACTTTTTTGCTGTTCTAATTATGTTATACTAATATGCTGATTTGGTGATGTTTCTGATAAAAAAATTTTTTTGCTGTTCTAATTATGTTATACTAATATGCTGATTTGGTGCTCAAGAAACATTTCTTACTCTTATTAATATTGAAAACAGTTGTGCTGTTTAATATTTTTGTGGAGACCACAAGACATTTTTTTCAGGATTTTTTGATGAATAGAAAGTACAAAAGAACATAAAAATAAAAAATAAAAATCTTTTATAACACTATAAAAGAAGATTCAGGATAATCATGCCATGATGTCTTCAATAACTCACCTGTTCTCTTTGCTTCCTTTCCCTCTCCATCATCTCCATCCGTTTCTTCCTCGCTCCTTCCTGAAACAGAACATGACCATGATGCTTTTAGACATGACGCAAACACCACAAACAGTATTTCCCATAACTTGTTTGCAATAGTGATGACATAGAAAAATTAGTTTGTACAACTCCATGCAGCAAAGAGAGGCAAAAGCAGTTAAATGTCCACATATAATCTTTAAAGAATATGTGTTTCCAAAATAGATCAGTTGTTGAACAATAGCATAATGGTTTAGCACCTTGTGGCTCAGAAGGTAGAGCAGGTCTATACACATTTACAGTATGAACACTGGACTGGTGACAGGGTTAATAAAAAAAGGGGTGGAAAAGGAAACAAATGTGAATGACAGCAGTTGGAGAGAAGCAGGAGGACACCAACAAAAAGGAGGGGAAAGATTAAAAAAAAGTTTCACTAAAGAGAAAAACAAGTTGTGTGTGTTTAGAATATTAGATTGTGATACTACAGCAGTAGGTGATAACTAAACCTAAATCCAATCTCTCTCATTATATTTAAATAGTTAGAAACAGTCATTTCACTTACAATTTTATCCAAAGCAACTATAAGTACACTTATCACAGTGATAGTGCTGCTTGACCAACCTGTGGATAAGTGTCTTGCTCAAAGGCACAATACTGATAAATTACGTATCATTCTTTGCAAGATTACAATAATTCCTATAGCAGCCCAGATCTTTAACCACTAGAGTAGACCAATTAATGGGACTTATTAATGATATAAATGGTAAACCAATTTGAGACTTAAATGGAAAAAAGATTTTGGTGGAGGACAGAGGGTATTTGTACAGGGCTAGGTGGGTTAATAAGGAGGATCGGGGCTGGGTGTTAGTAGAAGGGTCTGTAGATAGAGGGCACTCTCTGAAGTACCTCATGCTTCCTTCTCTCCTCCTCCACTCGACTCACTCTCCTCTGAGCTGCTGCAGGAGGGGGAGCCTGGACAACACATGACACCGAGGGGCGAGGTTCAGAGGTCTCTCGCTCTCATATATAGCACACAGTGGGACAACATCAACAAATGTCTGAATGATACATGCGCCCCACAGTGCCCCTCCTAACATTCTGACATACTGAGTGATAATGTATGAGCATAACATGGAAGTGGATTAGCCAATGAAATACATGGGGTCCGTATTTCCCATGGTTCTCACCTGTTTGAGTTTGACTGGTTTCTTTGCTGCATCCGGGACCTTCCTGATGGCATCAGATGGTCTTCGGACTGTTAAAGGCACTCCATATTTGGCTGCTGGCTTGGTGATTTTCTGAGCTGGGGAGATGGGGATGGGGCCTGGGGCAGGGCGTTTGGCTGAGGAGTAAAGAGGAATTTAGGATAATAGAATAATCTGGCTATAGCAACAATAAACAGAGGGTAACAAATTTGTAAGTTATTAATGAATGTGTTTACCTGGTGCTCCCTGGGCCACACCCATTTTAGGCTGATTAAAGTGAAGTGAGTGGCTGAATTCCTGAGCAATAATCTGCAACATACAAGGGGACATACTAAACAAACAAATTCTGCAACACATGCTGAAGTGGGTCTGGAATTAGCCCTAAGCGTTACATAACATCTGAGTTATATCTGAGTCACAACGCACAGACTGACTAGTATGATTCATCACACTGTGCCATACAAGTCTGTTAGCATGCGTTCACCTGAGGGCTGAGAAACTTGTGAATCCTGCGAGCAAGAAAAGGCTTGACCAAAATGGCTGAGACGGAGGGTCTCTCCCGGGGGTTGCGCTTGAACAGCTGGGCCAAGAGAGCGCGCAAGTCTTGGGAGTAATGCACGGTAACAGGCGGGTATGAACCACGGATGATTTTCAACACCAGGTTCTTCATGTTTCCAGCCTCAAACTGAGAGAAAGACATCATATAAATGGTCCTACTTGAAAATAAAATGATACCATATTCACTCAAATCATAAATCATGTAAGCCTACAATAATACCAAAGAATACAGGAAAATACTTTCAAATGAATCAACAATGAAATTTCTCTTCAGTTGGAAAGTGTCTCTTCACACAGCTAATCATCTCAACTTTTAAAGCTGCTGCAGTTTCACTTGCCTCTCTACTGTAAAATATAAGTCTCTACAGAACATTCTTGGTGTAAATATTGAAAGAAGGGAAGTGACCGAGGAAGACAGAGAGAAAATGAAACCTACATGCAGAGACAGGTTAAAAATATATGAAAGAGCTGGTTCTGTTTTATCATTCACATCAAAAGATAAGCACAAAAACTGTCTCGCACACAAAAGCTACTATTGAGAACACGAGGTACTTACTGCATGCTTAAGCGTGCACATTTCATACAGGACGCATCCCAGGGCCCAGATATCACTAGGGTCAGACCCGACGGAACAACGCAGAAAGAAAGAGAGAAGACAAAAAACAAAGCAGACAGGAAGGGAGAAAGTGGGACAAATGGGTAAATTTTGGGGTAGCGCATGTGGATTACTCACAGGTGCACATGCAAACATATATACACAAACAAACAGCATATAAAATCTAAAGTAATTTGAATATCAAACAACATAGCTTTGTACAAAATCTGATTTTTTTGGCAAAGAACCACATGAAATCTAATTTACAATCCAAACCAATGCACATCCATATGTGTCTTAAAATCCAATTAATGCATCACAGACTAAATGTTCATATTATATTTCATCATTCAGGATGTGATGGAATTGATAAGATCAGAATTAACAAATGAGATGTCTGCAGTGTGAACAAAGTCATTTAATGTCTATATCTTAGTTTGCATCCTGATACTAAGAAATTTTAAAATGCACACTATCAAAAATCTAACACTTGGGATCAGTAAGATTTTATTTTTTAAAGAAATTAATACTTTTATTTAGCAAGGATGCATTAAATTGATCAAAAGTGACAGCAAACTCATTTATAATGTTACAAAAGAGTTCCATTGTTCATTATTTTCTATATATAACTTTCTATATATATATATAATATATACATTTCTATTTGTAAAAAAATTCTGGAAAAAAATAATCATGGTTTCACCAAACATATTAAGCAGCAAAACTGTTTTCAATACTGATAATAATAGGAGATGTTTCTTGAGCATCAAATCAGTATATTAAAATGATTTCTGAAGGATCATGTGACACTGAAGACTGCAGCAATGGCTGCTGAAAATTCAGCTTTGCTACCTCAGGAATAAATTACATTTAAAAAAATATACAAATAGAAAGCAGTTTTTTTAATTGTAAAAATATTTCACAGTATTATTATTTTTACTGTTTTTTTTTTGATCAGATAAATGCAACCTTGTTGATCTTAAGATAATTCTTTCAAAAAAATAATTAAAAAATCTTACCGACCGTAATCCTTTTAACAGTAATGTAACACAGCTGGTGTTCATCAATAGTGGCTAAAAATATTCAGACTGATCAAGTTACAAACAGTCCAGGAACAAATGACTTGGGATCAATACGTAGCTGCTGGGATCAGAGAAACTCATATAAACTTACATCATTGATACAGCAAACTGTACAAGAGTTACTGAGTGCTCTGTAGCTACTGTACTGCCCATATATAACCCTCTTGGCTCAGAACAGGAAGTACTTTACCTCTTGTTGTTGTATGGTTTATTTTCACATATCTCTGGTGACAGGTAGTAAGGTGTGCCAATACATGTCCTCGCCAACTCCACGGTGCTGCACACACAACCACATTACATATGAAGGTCATTCCGTGTGCTGTTTTAAAATCAAATCGAAATACTTGCCTGTTCAAAACTCTAGCGATTCCAAAGTCACCCAGCTGTATGGTACCATCTTTGGTCAGAAAAATATTCTTGATAGAAAACAAAAGCAGAAATCATGTATGAGGCATATGTAAACCAAGTCTAAGGATATTGTACATTATGCTGTATTCCCATAGAAATGTTCAAGGTTCAAGTGTGTGTGTGTGTGTGTGTGTGAGAGAGAGGGAGAGAGATAGCGGTACCTGTGATTTGATGTCCCTGTGTAGGATTTTGCGGTCATGTACATGCTTCAGAGCCAGGCAGATCTGCACAAACCAGTCAAGAATCTTCCAGAAAACAACAGACAGGGATCAGTATTTCAGATGATAACATTGCCAGATTATTCTTGAGGTTAAAATTGTTTTTTTGCTAACATTCAACAGCTAAGAATATTGTATTATGTTATGATAAAAGAAATTCAAAATTTACATAATTATTTTGTTTATTATTTAATGGTATATTAAGTTGCATTTGGCTGGTCCAATGTTGCCACCCCCATGGGCTCTATATAGAATAAAACAGGTTAGCAGCTGGTAAGACTGGATCCTTCATCTCATATGAGTGCACATGACTCTAAATAGATTTTTCATAGGTACTATTCACTTTTGTAGGAGTGAGAAAAAAAAACTTTAAAGCTTTGATAATTTGTGGCCTGTTAGGTGTGGAGCTCAACTCGATGTCTTTATAATGTTCCTCGTACCTGTTCCTCAGAGAATAGAGTCCCTCTCTGATTATTGATCTTCTTAAACAGGTCTCCTCCCTCACAGTAGTCCATTACTATGTACAAACAACCACTCTCTGAAGAAAAAGAGAGAAACATTACTGTACTTCAATGAAAAAGTAACAGCAATGTTTAAACAGTAAGATTTTTTTTAAATCATAAAAAAGCATGCATTAAATTGATCAAAAGTGACAGTAAACATATTATGTTACAGAAGATTTATATTAAAAAAGCTGTTCTTTTGAACTTTCTATTCAACACAGTAACTTGAGAAAAGTATCACATTTTCCACAAAATTTTTTTTTGCTGCTAATAATAACAAGAAATGTTTTACAGTAAATCAGCATATTAGAATGATTTCTGAAGGGTAATGACAATGAGGTTTTTACAGTATATTACAATTAATTTTAAAATGTACAATATATTAAAAAACAGTCATTTCAAATTGTAATAATATTTCACAATATTACTGCTTTTAGGATATTTTGTTGAAATAAATGTAGAGCATAAGAGACATCTTTCAAATACATTAATGTTACAAACTTTTGGATAGTATTGTATCTGTAAAGTATGTGATAAAATCAGATTGAGACTCTTAGGTTTCACTGTAAATTTAAAATGGAATTAAGCAGACATAACGCCCTCTATTGCTAATATCATTAACATTCATTCACCACCCCAGTTTTATGTCATTAATTAGCCTGCCATCCAGATGTCAGAGATACTGCTGCTGCATGACTTCGTGTAGAGAAACTATCATTAGCTCAACGACATCCTCTCTGTAATTTAATTCAAGAGCTTGGAGCTCCTCCAGATCATGCAGACTGCCCGATCTATCAACCAGACACAAGCCTTAAGAACAGAAATGCAGTGGGTCTGGTGTGTGCCGGAACTAATGTTCTCAGATTAATCAAGATCGGTCAACTAAAGACCAAAGACTTTAGATACCCGTTTGTCATGCCAGTCGACATAATGGCAGAGATGGGCAACGAAGCATCATATTCCAATATCACTTAATACACATTTCTGAATATGGATGTCTCAGTGTCTGAGGGGGCTTTGCCTTCAAAGGACTCCTTGTACTGGACGATGTTTGGATGGCTCATGTTAGCCAGAACTGCCACCTCTCTGCGTGATTCTTGCCTTTCTCTGTTCGACATCTGATGAGAAAAAGAATAGTGCACACATACATAGGAAGAGCCGCATCAAATATATTATATCTCACCATTTTGAAACAATTAGGTTTTTAATAACTGAAATACTTATTCAAAAGATCAACTCAATTAAATGATCAACTCACCCTGGAGATGCCAATCTCCTTGATAACATATTGTCGGCTGTCTGTCCTTGACTTGACCAGGATGGCTTTCCCAAAGGATCCCTCCCCAATTTTCTTCAATCTCTCATATTTATCCATGTCTGTGCAAATGACTTCTCATGCTGAGGCAGAGGGAACAGAACACATAACATTAGGATCACCAGTAAAACAACACTAGGATTTTTAAAAAGTTATAGCATTCAAAAAAATTGACAGAACAAATATTATCTCTCTCTCTCTAGATATGTAGATATAGATATATAGATTATATGTACATAATGTAAATATATATATATATAGAGAGAGAGAGAGAGAGAGAGAGGGAGAGAGAGAGATACATAGATAGATAGATACAAAAACATATATTTTCATAGGTGAACCAAATATATTGTCTGATAGCACTCGAACAAGCAACCGACATATTCCTTTATAGGTGTGGCATTTTAAAAGTCACAATCAGCTGTCATCTATTCACAATGCCAGCAGGAATTATTAAACCGACTGGAGCGGAGCACCTCCTGATGAATGAAAGGTTAATATTTTTTTCCACACAGAATCCAGCTGCATAATGGGAATCATTACAACTGCCACCTGTCCTAGATGAGGCAAATGCAGACTGCATTTTTAGACAAACTAGTGGGACACTAAAATTAATAACAAATAAAGCCTAAAAGCAATACAGCCTTGGACGAATGCAAAAACTAAGCCAAACTAAAAGCAAAAGCCAGTGTAGGAGAGCTTATGAATTAAATATGACATGTCAGGAGGAATTACCCACCACTCTTTAAAGGAGGTAAGAGGGGTACAAAAGGAGAGATCTTAAAAGAAAGAACCAGATGGACAGAGAAGGACCTTAAGATAACAATAAATTAGATTAACCTGATGAAAGCTCTGTCGTCCAATAATATTGAATCACAAAGCAGGCAAACATAGAAACGTACAAGATCTTCATTTAAATAACAGACCAGGACAAAAACAGTGGCACTACTAGAGATATGGAGAGATGTGGATTGACTTACAGTCTAATATCTACAACATTAGTTTTTTACAAGCAAGATTTGTTATGCTGCTTTATGTTATACGGATAAAAGCATCATCACATGAACATTGAATTGCAACGTTTCAAAAGCATGTCTCATTTAGCGGGGCCTTAAACGGGTCTGCCCAAACTGATGATAATACGCTACTAAATGCACGCTAATGAAAACCGCGAAGAGAAATTACTAGTATTATTGGCAACCCGCGAAATGACACTGACATGCACTTTAAAGCAGAGTTCTGCAATATATATTGCATAAAAGACACAATTCTGCAAACGAAATCAGTTTTTACCTTCTTTATTCAGAATAGTCCGCGAGCATTGGCAGCATCACGGAAGCACACATGAAGATTTTCTGATGTGGGCGGTCTCATGTGGGAAGACGGCACACACTGACTGAGAAGAGCGATTTGATTGGTCCGCGCTCACGTTGAGTCTCGGGTGATAGAGTGAAAAACATGTCAGTCAAAACTCAATGCATTTAGGTTTGTCTGTCTATGGCAATGTTTGGCGCAAAATTCCACCCTAGCAACCGTCACCGGTTGGAGCTACTTGGTCACTTTCCGCTTTCATGGCCGTAAACTGAACTGCTTTTGTAAATGAAAAGGCAAAAAGTTATGGTGCACTGCATTTCTGAAGTATAGAGCATTGTTGTATTTTTCTAAGAAAAAGTAAACAAACAAACAAACAAACAAACAAAACAAAAAAATTATTTATATAACTTTTTACTGATATTTATGTGTATTATTTATATTATTATTTATAACAATAGTGATAATAACAACAACAATTATTATTTTATATTTTATATTGTTATTTAGTTATTTTTATTCCATATATTTCCACATTATTTATTAGTTAAATATTTTATTAATATTCATTATTTTAAAAATATTATTATATTATCAAATATTATAAATTATATTATATATAAAATAATATTAAAATATATATATTTATATTTTAATTATTTGTCTATGTTTTAAGATTCTGTTAACTTACTATTTTATCGTGGTTAAAACCTTTGTTACTCATAAGCAAAAACAGTCTCGAGGGGGGTTTTTTTCTTAAAAAGATTTCTTTACTATAAAAGTAATTTAGCTGCTTTCTGATTCCAAGGAATGAAGTGATGTGCATGTGTAGCTTTTAGAATCAAGCAGATAAATACATTAAAATGCGTTATTATTTAGTCAGTACATTTAGTAAATAAATACATTAAAATGCGTTAGTCCCCCCGCCTCGAGTTTCCTCTTCGAGATATATTGCTTTGATTTCTCTCAATATGGTCTTTGAGTTAATATTAATTTACCGATATACTTTATACACTGATATTTATACTCAGTGCGTTTGGCTCCACCTATCGGCTCACCGCGCGCAGTGCACTCAACATGGCGGCACCCGTTCCTTCTGTACCACAAGTTCACATTTAGCAACAACAACGTACGGTAGATGATATTATCGATATTTAACGTGAGTTCGATATCTTGTCGTCTAAAAGCCTAAAGCCTGTGCCGGTAAACTAACTATAATTGTGCTTTGTCAAAGGATCTCTATGGGAAGTTGCTCATTGTCAGTGGCAATTATATATGTTACTGAATTATATTTAGTGAACATTCAATAATTTCTGCTCTACAATTTGCTGTATTAATAACTTGAATGTCAGATACTACCTTAGAAACAGTACACAGATGTGGCACATCTAAGAATTGCTTTCCAGAATACCAGGGTAGTTACAAACTACATGTCCAAAAAACTATTACTTTATGACTTTTTATAAGTGATAGTTATAGATAGACATATGGTGCTCAATGTTTATCATATTCATATACCTATACCATATATTTACAGATATTTACATGGCACTCCAAGGTACTTTAAATAATAACATGTCTTGGCACAGCAATAATCAAATGTCAATAAAAATGCATGGTTTCTTTTTTTTTTTTTTTTTACTAAAAATAGTTACTATTTTCAGTTGTACTTTCACCTTTACTCATTCAATATCTGATTGCTGGCCAGCAGTGTTCATCCTACACTGTTGTTTCTCTTTTAGGATGGTGATGTCCAGACTGGCTGTAGTGTTCGGGGGTTCGCGTGGCATTGGGCGAGCAGTTTCTCAGCTGTTAGCACAGAGGGGTCATAGGGTTGTGGTGTTGTCTAGGAATAAGGAGGCTGCTCAGGCTACAGCTGAATCTCTCCCTGGAGGTGAATCAGTGAATCACCATGAATCAGTCTGAATTACTTTGCATTGGTTTGCTGATGAAAAGTCTTAACACTTCAGTTTGACAATGTAGACATCATACACTTCAGGCCTTTTTTTTTTAACCTAAATTGGAGTGTTGTGTATAGTATGTATCTATCGAACAGCACAAACAAAAGCATTTTGTTACCAGTTGGGGCAATGAATGCAATTTAAAAAAAACTTAATCTTAAATTGTGTTAAAATAGATGTTATAATTCTGGAGTATATATTTAATTTCAGAAAAACATTTGGGTCTAAGCTGTGATGTCTCTAAAGAAGAAAACGTTCAGAAAGCATTTGAGACCATCAGTAAGACCTGTGGCACTGTGGGATACCTGGTTAATGCAGCTGGCATCAACAGGTCAGAAAAGCCACAAAGCTGTGTTGCAGAAAATGTGTTGTTGAATAAATATATCAGACAGATACCATGACCAAAAGAGATGATGATAATAAAAATAGCAGATTTGTATGTAATAAATAAAAGACTGCTGCATTGTAATATATATTGCATGTGGGTTTGTTTTAAAGAGATGCATTGTTATTGAGGAGTAAATCTGAAGACATGCTGTCTGTTCTTCACACCAACCTGCTGGGCTCAATACTGACGTGCAGAGGCGCTCTACGGAGCATGCTCAGTCACGGAGGAGCTATTGTCAACATAGGTGAGGCTTATTTCTGTATGTCCCATTACCTTATGATCTTCTTATATATTATTTCAATTCAATGTCATGAAGTTCAAGTTGGAGAAAAGGGGAAAAGTCTCCATGCATCAGCAGCTGGGCATTTTAGGTTCGTTAAATCACCACTAGATGGCGCAGAAGCTACAGATTTTAAATTGTTTCACTCTCTGCATCATAATGTAGTTCTTACACTTTCAATGGAAACGGCATTGACTAGCCTATACTATAAAAAAAAACTGCATCTGTGTTTTTTGTTGAGTATCATATTTGATATGTCTGGCTTTTATTGCTCATATTATAAGTATATTATGAAACTGGAGAATTTGGAGCTTGTACTCGAGGAAGAAAAACACATCTCAAATTTTATTCAGAGGTCCAAACTGAGCAAAATATGCAATTTAGTGCACTTGCTGATATTTATATGGCAAAAAAAAAGATGCAATTCTGATTGGAATTATGGAATTATACATTATATAGTGTCAAAACATAATACAATATAATACAGAGATGACTGAGAGATGCACAAATAAATATTCCTCAGAAGCCTGATGTATCATAATTGGTACTTACATTTTAACATGATTTTGTTCTAAAAATGAAGTATGGATCATCTAAGTTGCTTCAATCCAATAAATGTTTGTCTTGAAATATTTAAAAAAAATATATAGAATAACAGTAATACAATTTATTCTTACGTTTACTTTATAAAAATCATTAAAGATTTCAAAAAGCACCGAGGAGGACATTTTTAGAATTATACTAAAAGGGCTTTTACTTTATAAAAAAGTATAAACTATCAATCAGACGACATCAGATTTTTGATTGTGTTGCTCATTTAGAGGCCAAATATGATACAGTAGGCTTTATATGTTTAATCACCGACTGATCAAAGCAAATGTTGAGAGAACGCTAATATCTTTACAAATGCGTTACGAAGACGGAATATGTTTGAGTTACTTAAAAAGCCAATGAAATTGAAACAAATTTGTGCTGCCAGTATCACATTTTTGCATGTTTCTGTAATTCCAAACCTGAAAACTGAAGCCTACCTGTCAAAGCACTACCATCTCGTCATTACATGCACCATCATCTTCAAAATCAGTAATACTCGTATAAATCTCGCCTTCATCCACAATCAGGCCACCCTCTATAAACATGCATGCGCCCAATTCTGCTTCCTGTACTTCCATCATAGGCATTCCTCATCACTCTCGCTTCCACGGAAACACAACAAACATCTGTCCAAACCTGTCAGTCATCCAAAACTTGCAAAACTCTCATTACTCATGTTAATGACATATCAGTCTCCGCTTTTAATCTCTCCTAAAAAAGACAGGGTGGTGAAAAGATCATTAAGGCCCGGCCTTGTGTGACATCTCTGGATTGGAGCCGAGATCCAGACGCGGCTTCTATCTATGGCAGAGTGCGTCTGATCAATATGCTGGATCTCAAGGACCCTGAAGCTCCATGGAGTTTTAGGTGTGTCCATCTTTCCACAGCCCTGTTCCCTACATCCAGAGAACCAGCCCCCCGCCAAACCACCCAAAAAAAGTCCTATTTCCAGTGCTGGAGAAGAAGACATTTCTTCCAGCATTTCATAAATACATCTAATCTAAGGCATAATAACTAAATACATAAAAAGTGTTACATGTTGGCACCGTAGTAACATGCACAGCTAGACGATAGTTACTTGAATAGTTTTTTTAAATTATTATTATTATTTTAAATTTAATTTGAAAATTAAATATTTCTTAGGCACTTGTAAAATCTAGAGATGAAAAACAAGGTGATCATCGGTATACTACCTCCTTCCTCAAAGCACGTGCTTGTGTGTTTGTGTGTGTTAAGTGCGTCGGCGAACCATTAAGTCTGTATACAAGCAGGATATGACCTCACTTAAATCACCCACATCACTTCCCCTCAGACAACAACTGAAATAAAAGCATAGCGAATGGTCCTCCTCAGGCGGAGAAGAAGTGATAATACCAAGAATCATAATCTGTGAGGAAATGCTTTGCAGCTTCCTCCCTCGCCATTCAAAGTCAATCGATCACTTTTTCATCCGACCCCAGCTAGAGGTGTTTATAGGGAAATGGGTGGGGATTATGGAGTACACTTGATCAAGGGATCGGGATTCCAAGGTCAGATCCTCCATGCTAGTCTCTACAGGTCGTCACTCTCCACTAGGGTGCCAGGAAGAGGAGGATTGGAGTCTGGGAAGAAGGCTGCCTTCACATCCAGACCTCGTTCTGTCAGAGCGGCGTAGCGGCTCGCTGATGGACGAACCTTCTTGAGCTTCGGAGTGCGAGTCTGCTGCCACTGGGCTGAGGGAAAGAAAAGGCGAAGATGAACATGGTTTCTCACTTTGAACAATTCAGAGGATGTAATATTGATGTCTAGATAATGAATGTAGTTCCTCAATTATGAAAACATATGGAGACTTAACTGTATAGCTTGGAAAGTTTCATTTAGGGTTACACAGTATACCAGGAAAAAAGTCAAATAAATAATATATAAATAAAAGGATAAATAAATAAATATACAAATGCAAGTCAGAGGAGGAAAATGTGATTCGAAAGGAGTTCAGACAATTTCATTATTCACATCCATCTTTGCCAACTGGAACAAAGCAACTTAGTAGCTATTTTCTTTCTTAATTACAATATATGGAAAGTCTGGAATATTTGGATATTATATTTGGAAAATATGCTGAACATGACCTCTAAGCCTGTATGATTGAAAGTTGTGCCTTGGATTTCATGTATACTTCCTTTATTTATATTCTGATTATATGCAAATATATAATGCATATACAACTGTCAATATGCATGATACAATTTTACCATATCATTTACTGATATTAGACCATTTCTTTTCATTTATCTGCCAATATTTTATATTTAACTCTGATCCACATTCAGACATCAAAATACTGTGATGCCTAAATTCACATGTAGCATTAAAAATGAATAATTTTAGCTTTTAGTGTTTTATTTTTAATATATTAAGGCAACAGTATAGATCTTTAATATATATTTTTTATTAAATAATTACGTTTTAATATTGGTAAATCAATTTTATATCAGTATTGGGGTATCAAAGCCGATACTGTATCAAAGCCAAAAATGTTGGTGTTGAGCAAACTCTAGTTCCAATTAATTCCAGATTGGATGTGTTGTGTTTGAGTCATGGTATGATGGAGATCAGAACAATCAGTGTTAAATCACATCCCTTGTGTGATTAAAACCACTTTCATAAGACTCCAGCACACAGGCTGCCAGTCCATTGTTGGTTTAATGTTAGGTAATGCATCCATATTGTTAAGCCTGTTGTTGATGGCAAACACAGCACTGGCTAATTGCTATGGGATTGCTATGGGAACAACACTGGGCGGAGGAAGGGAGTGTGCTTTTATTGGACAGATTAAATACAGTTTTGTTCTTAGTCTGATGCAACTTATGCAAGCGCATTGATCAGATAAACCCCTTAAAACTACTTGGTTTGTATGTAGTGTACTTTGGTCTTTTACCAATCATAACTCAGCATTGTCACATGCATTCTTCAGATCCGTTTCCACTGTGTGTTTGACTAACCATGTACGTCGAGACGTGCCGTACTGGAGATGATGCCAGCTTCGTTCTTAGCTGAAACCGTGTACCAGCCTGCGTCTTCCTTCAGAGCCGGCTGGATGATCATGCAGAGGTAACCAAAGTTGTCCTGGTGCATGCTGGGAAATAGAATTGAACATCAGAATGAGTAAGTGGCAACACTGTTTGCACTGAAACAAAGGATTATAATGAGATGCCAGGATTGTTTATTAAGGTTGCACGGGCATATTACTTTGATTTGAATCCTTATGAGCAAACCATGTTCACAAACAATGACTGGAGACTTTACAGCTTGTGACTAACTGCTCTCGTCTCTCTTGAGGTGGTGTAGACGGTAGCGCCTGTGGTGAGGTTACTTTGTGTGTTTCTTTTACAAGGGTTTTTCATCGATATACACACACACATGTAGCAACTTTAAACACATGGCTTCCAACAGCTGCCATATATAGGCTCTTTTTAAATGTATCTATGAGGTAAATAGTGTTTAACATGATATAATATACCATAATATAATAATAATACGCATTTATTATTAACACTTTATTTCGATAGTCCACTTTAGACATTCTATTAACAGTAAGTAACTTTGCAACTACATGTCAACTAGCAGTTAGTAGAGTATTAGTAGACTGTCTGCTTAATATCTTCTAACACTTTCTTTGTCAACTTATTCTACTAACCCTAAACCTACCCTAACAGTCTACTCTGAGAGTTAGTAGACATGTAGTTGCAAATTAATGAGAATTAGTTGACATGTAGTTACAAAGTTACTTATAGTTAATAGAATGTCTAAAGTGGACTATCGAAATAAAGTGTAACCACGTATTTAGCTAAATTGTAGCTTGGAATGGCTGTAGGAGGGCTTTGATTGGCCCAAGGTCACCTACCTTATCCTGTCGGTGTTGTGAGTGAAGGACTCATTCTCTTTCTTCCAGAAGATCTGTGGGAATGGGACTCCAGACACACGGCACTCAAGACGCACTGGGTGACCCTCAGCGACACTTGTGTTCTGGAGTTTCTCAATGAAGCATGGAGCTTTATGCATCTCTTTGGCTAAAAAAATAAAATACATAAATATATATAAATATATATTAAATTAATACAAATATATATGTAAAATTAAAATGGTAAAAAAAGTATTAGTTTGAAAATCTTTCCTATACAAATATATTTATACATATTAAAATGATCCAAATTATACATTCTTACCTGCATTTTACATAGATATTTTATAGTTGTTGTTTTTTTAAAGAAATTAATACTTGTATTCAGTAAGGACACATTTAAAACGTTTTTGACATTTCTATTTCCGTTCTTTTGAACTTTTTGGGGAGGAAAAGTATCACAGTTTTAAGAAAATAAGCAGCATAACTGTTTTCAACATTGATGAAGAAATTAGTGTTTCTTTAACAACAAATCAGTATTTTAGAATGATTTCTGAAGGATCACGTGACACTGAAGACTGGAGTAATGATGCTGAAAATTCAGCTTTGCCATCACATAAATTACAATAAAAATACTAATAAAATAGAAAAGTTATTTTAAATTGCAATAATATTTCAAAATATTACTGTTTTTATTGTATTTTTGATCAAACAATTGCAGCCTAGGTGAACATGAGACTTTTTCAAAAATCTTACCAATTTTATTTGTATTTTTTTCACGAGAATGGCATGTATCTTATTCTTTCTATTATCGTCTTATTTTTATTTATATGTTATTATAAATTACAAATTGTATTATTTATTACAAATTGAACTCTATGGTTGTGTAGAAGATGATAGTTACGTACCTGCAACAATGAGCTCTAGGTTGAATGAGTTCTGTCCAGCCCTGTTGCTGGCGATGCATGTGTAAACTCCTGCATCTCTGCTTGTGACAGGTTCGATGACCAATGAATGAACCCCGTTCTCCCTCACCAGCATCTTGTGGGAGGAGTCTGGACGGATGGTCTGGCCATTCAGCTGCCAGATGAGGTCAGGAGTTGGCAGGCCACTAACCTATGTTTGAAAGACAAGTCAATCAATTGTTTGCAGCATAATATATCCTTTCCTACTCCGCTATAAAATGTAAATTATAGTGCAACTGGCCCTTTTAAATAATTTTCAACCCTAATGCTAGCGTTTATGTCTGGTGTAGGGTATCTGGTCGCTGTACTGTATGCGTGTGGTTCTCATGGGAAATCAGTCTGTGCACAATGCCTGGGCTCTATTTTCAACAACTCTCACATTCCTGAGAAACACAACACCTGCTCCACCCGAAGGTGTGCCAGCGACAGACCACCAGTCGACGTGTCTGTGCGTTTATGTTTGTTTATGAGTGTGTGCATGTGTTTGTGTGTTTATGCATGGGGGTGAGATGCTCATTTATCCATCTGCTTTGGTTGTGATGTTCCTCAGAATGTTCATGACATTTGTGAACACACTGCTCAAGTACAGTTCCCCTGGGTGTGCATATTCCCTGTGTGATGTTTACAGTGTCCATGACACATCTCACTACAGCCAACTTGAGTGCGTGTGTGCGTGCGTGCATGACTTGAATTGAAAGAACAGGCGGTGTAAATGAAAAAGCAGAGAACTCAAACTGAAAAAAGGCACTTTGATTTTAGACCTCCTGAACTGCATCTAGGGACATCTGTGGCCTGGAAAGTTTGGAAAGCCTCAAAGCCAGAGGAAATAAATCAGTTCTATAAATATCATTGACATTAAGGGCTCTGTGCATGAGTGCATTACTGATCAGGGTCTTTTTATAGTGTGTGAAATCCCTCTATGGCACAGTGAGCCTTTATTCTGATATACACAGTTCACAGCCAGACATGGGCAGCGGTACAAATCCAGAATGTATTACTACAGTTAGACAACAACCTGAGAGAGAGAAATAGACCAGATAAGAGGAAGAGATGCTGCAGAATGAATATAAACTGGGGGGAATTAAATCATTATAGGATTTTCAGTTTTGGGTGAACTATGCCTTTAAGTAACCATGTAATATGTGTTATGTACAGGGAGATGGTCAGCATGGTCATTTGTGATGTTAAAGTGAGTGTGGCAGTGCTTGTGCAATCACCTTGCAGTCCATGCGGCAGAGTTTACCCTCTTGCACAATAAGGTCGCCGGGGGCCTGCAGAAAATGAGGGCGGAAGTGACGTTCCTGAATGTTCTCATTCTCATCACCGCTGTCTCTGGACCTTGAGCGTGGTCTGGGAAAAAGATCCCCCCAAAAAAAGTCAGTTGCCCAATTCTATTCATGTTATCATTGTGAATAATCAAATGTAAATATCAAAAATTAATTTAAAGAAAAAAAAAATATTAGATTTGGTAACAGGGTGGCATATTAATGTTTTTGGTAATTAAAGGATTTTACTTCAATAAATTTAATAGATGAATAATATTTAACAGATTGAATAGAAATAATAATATTTAATAGATTGTCAATATACTTACATTTTCTATCATTTTAAAATAGTCAAGAAAGGTAAGATAGGATAAGCTAAAAATCTATATTTTAAGGTGAAGGGGGGAACAATAAATTTATCTAACTTAAGGTACAGTAGGTGACATTAATTAAAATAAAGAAAAAACAGTTGTGCCTGTGATGTATTTTTTTTTGTTTTTTTAAAATTGAGAACAAAAAAGTAACGGGACACCGAAGAGCACCACATTTGTGGAGAATTTTTTTATTTTTTATGAAGAGCTTACTTTGTGTAGTTTTAGAACTAAATGATAGGTTGGCACACAGCATTGCCTTGAGAGACTATTGACTCGGTCAATCAAACATATAAAAACCTCAAAGACCTGAATGGCCAGATATATTATATTTAATCCAGAGGAAACCCCACCCTTTAAAAAAGATTCACATATTCTATTCTGCATAAAAGACATTTTAACTGGTCCTTGCATCATTGTCCAAAATATACAGGTGTGCTTTACATGGGACACGCCCTCTATTAGTGCTAGTCCCTAACAGCAAACCTGATACTGGACCTGCTGTAATCGGCTGTGTATGTTTAGAAACAGCAGTGCTTATATACCTGCGGATGTGTCCAGGTGTGGAGCGCTGACTTCTCCCCCTTTGGTTCACGGCCTGGACCATCATCCTTCCAGTACAACTCACTCTCCCCTAAGACAGAAAGACAGAAGATATAGAGAGAAACATTTGAGTAAAGAAACTGATGCTATCTGCTTTTCTTAGGGATAATAAGACGAAAGAAAAGTGACATGCATGACACATAACTATTTTGTGGTCAATTTAAGCTGGAATGTGTTTGAACTTCTGACCCTTCCAAAGGCTGTAGTAATTTTGTTGCTTCTGGTCAGTCACTTCCCCCTGACTACCGATGTTTATCCGTCTCCACCACAACACTGGTCATGCTGACTAGCCACTTGAGAAAGTGTGTATATGAATGTGAGAAAAACAATCAAATCAGATCAAACTCTGATAAAAGGTATTATATATTTTTCGTAACTGACATGTTAACACATTCAGTTAAATTTTACTGAGAATTAACTATTGCAAAATTATGGCCTTCTGACTCGTCTCCAATTTTCTGAGAAATGCATGTTCTGCTAGGGAATTTTGTGTTGCATGTGTAAGAATACAGAGAATTATTCCGTTTGAATCCATTGTTTCCATCTGTGTTTGAAAAATAAAACAAAATCAAAAATATAAATCAAAAAACAAAATAAAACAAAACCAACCCAAACAAAGCCAAACAAACCAAAACAGTGTATAATAATAAGAATAATAATTAACATTAGGTTGCATACTTAGCAACTCATCTATGCATTCTTCTAAAATTAAACAAGACCAAACTGATTTATCCTTTTCAACATAAGAATGCTTAACTATGACAATATAATCATGTCCTGTTTATTATATTATATTATCTTATATTATATCTCACCGCTGGGTTGCCTGCCATAATGGTGTAGTTCCCATCATCATCTAGCGAGGCAGCCGCTGTGTGCAAAGAGCATGTGCCATCCGGATCACGACTGATACGGTAGTGTTCACTGCGCTTCGAGATCTGCTTTCCGTCCTTAAACCAGTACACCTTCAAACACACACAGATATATACATGGTTATGCAACACTCCAAAGCCTGTACCGTTGTTTCTTTTTTTTCTCTTCTTCATCACTTTTGTTATTAAGTCAGCTGTCATCACAGAGTCATTACTGTGGTCTCATGGTAGTCAGAGAGAGTCACACAATGAAAGCGAGACAGCCATATATGGCAGAAATCTCAGAAGAGCAGAGCTTCTGATGAAACCAGCCTAGTCACAGATGATAAACCACCAATCCCATCATTCCAGTCACCTCTCCTACAATCCCTTAGAACAACAAAATATCCTCCATACTGTGAACTGTGTCTCCAGAACAATATGCAGTATAAAACTATAGACTGTAATAAAAAATGACATAAAAAAACTGGTGTATAACAGCTGATAAAAGCATCGCAATAATTCACAAGTAATCCACACAACTCCAGTCCATTAATTAATGTCTTGTGAAGTGAAAAGCTACGCGTTTGTAAGAAACAAATCCATCGAGGCATTTTAACTTTAAACCATCGCTTCTGGCAAAAATACCAGTCCATAACACTTTCTCCAGTGAAAAAGTCCATCTCCTGTTGTCCTCTCACATCAAAATCCACCAACATATTTATTTAGAACCATTTTGAACTCTTCTCACTTGTAAATGGTGCTTGATCGGCGCATATTTCTCTCCTGATTCAGACAAGACAACTTTTTCATTGGAGAATGCATCTATCCTCTATCTATTATGGATAGAGGACTTGTGTTTTAGGCGGAGGCAATGGTTTAAATAAAAAAAATAACATCTTGATGAATTTATTGCAAACACACACCTTTTTGCTTCACAAGATGTTAATTCACAGACTAGAGTGGTGTGGGTTACTGGATTATTGTGATGTTTTTATCAGCTGTTTGGACTCTCATTCTGACGGCACCCATTCACTGCAGAGGATTCATTGGTGAGCAAGTGATGTAAACGTAAATTTCTCCATATATGTTCTAATGAAGAAAAACTCATCTACATCTTGGATAGCCTGAGGATAAGTAGATTTTCATTTCTGGGTGAACTATTCCTTTAATTAACTAACTGCTGAAATTACAGTAATAAACACAAAATTAGCTAAGAGAGCTAAACTGCATGGGTGGTGACCTCTCACCTTTGGCTTTGGGTCTCCGATGACCTTGCAGCTGAAGGTCACAGGCATTCCCTCGAAGACTTTGTAATGCTTGAGCTTCTGATCGAAGAACGGTGCAACCTCCCCGGGCGCATCTTCATCATGCTGAACGTCATCGTCAGATTCCTCCACAGGTGAGCGCTCCAGTCGAAACTCAATCTCGCTGATCAACCGCTGCTCGAAGCTGGACACTTTATACTCCTGTCACACAAACAAACACAAAGGTTTTAGCTTATGACCTTGTCCTCAGCTTACCAACTCATTCAATCACTCATTTTATTCATTCAAGCACACATCCTCTCATCACTGTGTCCTATAATCTATGCAGTCTTGTATCCAACTCTTATTGCTCTTTCATCTGGCCTGTTTCTAGTCTTCTGTTTCCTTTTATTTCACTCTGCAGGCAGAGGGAACATCTGGAGAAAAGTGTGTGCTGATGACACATCACAACAATAATTGCAGGTTTAAGACACAGCTGCAGCAAGGAGAAAACACACCATCATAACTATATATGTAGACAACGAACGCACCCTCTCCATCTTGTTCTCTTGCACGTCCAGCCACATCCTCCCAAAAGCACACACACATGCACATTTCCTATGCAAACACACAGACAACCGCTATTTGCCCAAGGACATGTGTTGAGCGCTAAGCACACTTTAAATTTATGGCACAACATTAACAGCATCTCCACTTCCCACAGTTCAGAGGAAGAGAAGCATGTGCATTTTAGTGTCTCCACTCGAGGGTATGAAATGTGCGAAGCAGACGCATGCGGTCTCTGATCAGTTAGCAATAACACGACACATGATGATGTTAGGCACCCAGCACAGTTTTTTCCCCACATTTTTTATTTTCATATGATGTTGATTGGCCATTTCGGTTGCCAGATATTTTTGTATAACAACAATCGCTAAACTACATAATTGACTGCTGTCCAAGGCAAATTACTGTATTATTTTTTTATGAAATTGGCAATTTCTTACAGCATAATTTCAACTCGCATTCTATTTCATGTCCAATATTTTGGCAAGTATCTGTGTCATAACAAGTGGGGTAATGTGCGGTCAGTCATTATCACAAAATAAACCCCATCACCAGCAATTTGTTACAACAGCTAAAATACAATGAAGCATGTGGATAACATATTTCATTCTATAAAAGTTATCACATAGCCAACATATCCGAAATGTTTGGAGTAGGTAAGATTTTTTATGTTTAAAAAAGCATTTATTTGTACTTGTATTTACAGGCTGGGTTTATTTGATCAAAAATACAGTAATATTATGAAATATTGTTAGAATTTAAAATAATGATCTTCTATTTGAATATATTTTAAAATGTCATTTACTCCTGTGTTAGCCAAGCTGAATTTTCAGCAGACATTAGTCTTCAGTGTCACATGATCCTTCAGAATTTGGTGCTCAAGAAACATTTAATATGATTATTAATGTTGAAAACAGTTTAATATTGCTTAATATTTTTGTGGAACCCGATAACTGACAAGGAACAAGATTCTTTGATGAATTGAAAGTTTAAAAGAACAGCATTTATTTTAAATAAAAATCCTTTGTATCAATGTAAAAGTCTGTACTGTCACTTATTTCATGCGTCCATGATAAAATAAAGTATTTCTTTCTTTCAAAAACGATACTTTCTTTCAAATATTGGACCCCCCAGGAGTTTTGGTTCAATACAAATATTGAATACACTGCTTATTTGATTAGTAAGACTGCAGTGTAAATCTCTGTTTTTGATGATTTTCCCAGAGAGTACAACAGTCATCACTGTCATATTGCTGTCAAGGACTTTACCGCGGTGCTTAATCGGGACGCAAATATTCCATAAACGGAGACATAGAAGAAAACACAGGGGATAGAGTAAACACACAATCACATACAGTAGTGACTGGCCAAAACAGGGGGGTGACCACACACAGAGGGGTGAGAGAATTAAATAACTGAGGGTGATCTCATGAGTGAAGCAAAGAGATATACAGCGGTGAGAGACTGACAGAAGAGCGAAATATAAGGAGAACAGACAGGCTGCTGCTTGATGTTTGTAATAGACAGGATGAGTATGAATAACCTTTTGAGGGACAAACTCTGAGTCAGCTGAGCTGCCTTCCTGTAAAGAGATCAGAAAACAGGCAGGGGGATTGAGGATGATGTCACATCCTGCGCAGATTACACACCTATTGCACAAAAGTGCACAATCACACACTTAACTGGCAATGTGCGTTTGTGTTGGGCTGCTAATCCTGCTTTTATGATCTTACCTGCTCACACACCTTCAAAACGCCTCGCTGACATGACTCTCCTCGCCAAAATGACATCACTTTACAATGTACCCAATGCATATGTGCAAGCACATGCGGGAGCTCGTAGCTATTAGCCGAATTAAGACACATTTACAAGCACGCAGGCAAACCACAATGCTCTAAACTACATCCAACAGCCTAGCCGTACACTGGTAGTCATCGGAAAAAGTGTGTGGACAGATTTGTTATGCATGCTTTTTATTTATAACCCATGTTTAAAAACCAGCCAATTACAAACAACTGCTTTGTTTACTGTGACACAATGGGGACGTTGTGTAGGTGGGTTTGTGTGTGTGTGTGTGTGTGTACCTACTTAACCATATTTTGGGGACAAATTTGTACCCAAAAGTGAGCAAAACCTGACAAAATCGCCAAAAACCTCCATTTGGGGACGTCCTCATTTGTAAAACTGATATAAAAATAAAGTAAACAAAGTTCTTTTGAAATAGTAAAAATGCAGAAAGTTTTCTGTTAGGGGTGGGTTTAGGTTAAAGTGTATAACAATCTGTATATTAAAAAAATAGTAGTCTATGTAATCTCCCCATTTAGATAGCTCAGTTAACGTGTGTGTGTGTGTGTGTGTGTGTGTTTATACCTGTGTAACTGGCTCCTCCTCCACCTGTTGTGTGTTAAACACTGTGGCAGCATTGTCAGCACCCAGCAGTCTGCGAGCCATCTTCTCCTCATAGGTTAACCTCTGAAAGCAAGCAGGATTAATCTGTCAGAGCCTGGGTTAGTGTGTGAGAGAAAACACACTCGTACACGCAAAAGCATGAGGATTATTTGGTGGCCTGTACTACTGAATTCAAGGCTATTAGTCATGCTGAACATGTGGTGGGTTTTTGCTATGCATTGTGGGTTGATTTTAGAGATCCTATAGTGATTAACCATTTTAGTTGGAGGAGTTGGTGGTGGAAGGTAATTTTCTCCATTTATTAGCTGTATTTCGTAAGAATGAAAAGTTACAATGAACATATATATTGAAAACTGAAAAAAAAGAAAGAAATTTCAGTTATACTCAACTGAACAGTTCACCCAATTTACCCTTGCGCATATTTGAACTTAGTGTCATATTTAACATTACATTTAACATCAAATGCCACTGGTTCTTGTGCGTCTATTCCCTCATCAATTCAAAATATTAATACGTACTGTAACAGTACATATATAGAGTTCTAAAATAACATTGGCTCCCATTTACTTCTATTATATGGAACGGAACAGTGCTCTTTTTCTTTTGATTTTACTCCACAGAAATCATTAGCATTTTAGAACAGCTTGAGGGGAAGTTGACTTTTTTTTCTTCTTTTTTTTGGGGGGGGGGTAAAAAAATTATCCTTTGATGTTCAATAGAATAAAAAAAGGTCATACAGGCTTCAAACTACATGAGAGTGATCAGATTTTTTATCCCTATAAAAAAAAAACACTCATTCTCAACTAAACTTATGTGCTTTACATTTCTGTAGGCTTGAGAATGAGAGAGGAAATCTCTATAATACACAGTCCTTACCCTCAAGGTTCCTCAGCTCCCATTGATCTCAGTGTCTCCATAAACATGCCATGTAAGAATGCATACAGTACATGTTTTCCATGCAGCTGGAAAGCAAGAGCTGCACTCCAAATTACTTATTAGCCCAAGAGTTCACTCTATATGCCCTTGATAGTGCTTTATTGGAGCTCATGATAAAGTGCTTTGTCTTTACTATAGAGAATCAGCTTAAGTTGTGACACAAGGAACCTGATATTTCAGTATGGAGATAAAGGTTAGGATCATTGTTTTTTAGTAGTAAGTTTGTTTCCATTTGTTGTTTGCTTTTGGCATCTGATATAGCGTTTGGACCAAGAAACTGTGATGCATGACATCAGACTTTAAAAACCAGGTGAATGCACACCTTCGAAAAGCATTTGGGATGTTTCTCAAACAGATGATTGTGGGTACTCACACTGTGCCATTACCCTTGGGCAGCCCCAACGCATTCACTGGTGGCAGAGGTGGTGTGGCTGGGAGCACAGACACCAGAAACCCAGCTGGTGAGTGGGGAGTGGATGTGAACGGCGAGGAGGCGTCTGAGCGGGTGGGGCTCGACATGACAGGTGGAGGAGGCGGTGGAGGTGGAGGAGGGAAGTCTTGTGGCAAGCCAGCAGGAGAGGATAGAGTGCTGGAGCTGAGAAAGGGCGGAGGGGGCGGCGGGAAAGGCGGCGAGCTGGGAGACTCCACGCTGCTTCCTTTGGACAGTAGCGGCTGCTGCTGGAAGGGCGGAAGTGTGACGCGGCTGAAGGGTTTGTGGGACATTGTAGGGGACAGCGGACTGGAGCTCGAGGAGGTCGAGGACTGCGTGCTGTATCCAATCGATCCCCCGCTTGTTGTGGGACTCTGCGCAGCAATGAACTGCTTAGGCCGGGCATAGTTGAAGGTGCTTGTCTGCATGGTGCTACTCTCCAGCTCCTGGAAGGAGGGAGGAGGAGGGAGAGGTGGAGATGGAGGCGGGACTTCCTGAGGAGGAGGAAGCTGTTGTTGCTGCTCGAGAAGGATCTGATCCTGAAGTTGCTTCAGTTGTGCTGCGTTTCTGCAAGGAAAAAATTAAACAAATGGACTGTTTAGCATCACTAACTACACACATTTTACTAAAATAGTCAGATAATGCGACAACCTGACAAACATTCACTGAACTAATGTCAACATCTTAAGATAATGTTTGTACAGCATGTTTGCTGGGACTAAACATGGCTATATATAACTGTGTACACAATTATTAAACTGATAGTTCCAATCCTGATTACTCAATACAGCATTCCTGCCAAAACCCATGACAGAAAAAAGATGTTCACCATATGATTAATCTGAATCTGCCTTAAAAAAAATTGGGTTTAATGGAAATTTGTGTCCTCTATATTTTTTATTTTAGTTTTTATATATATATATATATATATATATAGCTGGTTTCTAGTTGGGTGGCTGACCCATAATGACCATGTTCCAAAAACCAGCTTCACCATCTTAAGATGGTTTGATAGCAGGTTTGTTGCTAGTCCAACGTGGCCTACCAGCTTGCATGAGCTAAATGACCAAAAAAAACTTTTATGCTAAAGTATATTATATTTAAATAAAATTATTGTCAAATAAATTGGATAAAATGCAGGAATAAATTATCAATTTAATTCAAAACAAACAGATTTGTCCATTAAAAAATTTAATCTAATTTAATCCATGTTTTAAAATGTAGTTAAATATACAAAAAAAGAAAAAGAAATAAATTAAAAAACAAGTGCAATTGGACATAACTGTTTAATTAATGTTTTACCGTGTAATTAAATATAACAAAAACACAACAATAAAAGGAAAAAAAGAAAAGAAAAGAAAACAACAAAATTAAACTTGGTACTCTAAAGACTATTCTGATGTAGCGCTTTATATATTTCCATCTTTATTGATTTATTAGAGACGGAAAGCCACACACAGAGTTCAGCGAGTGATGTCATATAAGGCCCTCTCAGGGTCAGTGTATCATCCTCACAGAACAGATGGCCCCTCACACAGGAGGAAATGAACTCTAGAGCCTACAGGGGTGTAGTGTTTGTTACTATAAAGGACATCTATGAACGCATATACAAGTGTGTCTGTACAGCTGCATATGGGCAGAAGATTTCATGCCTTGTTGTTTGTGTGGTTATGCATGTCTGTGTGTATTTGTGCTGAGCTTCTGGGAAGGAAACTAAAGCCCACTGAAGAGCGAGTGATATGCTATCTTGGGTAAAGTTTAAACTACACTGTCAACAGCATGTAAACAGTATGGAAAAGGATGAGATGAAGATCTCAGCGATGTGTCGTGTGAATATGGGTGTGGGCTGATGGCTGAGCGTTATCTGTCAAATGTTTGGCCTCATGGTTCACCCACATACACAACAACACTGGAGTGACATCCACATTGTCCTTTTCTCTGCTAAACAGGAGATATTCGCTGCCTACAGTCATAGTTTTCCATCATCTGAATTCTTGTGTCCCTCAAAGACACGTTTTGTTTGAAACGCAATTTGTCTCCCTTCTTCTGCAGACTCAGCCCCACTCTCCCGCTGCCTTTTTTTTTGGCAACATCTAGACACTTTCTGTGAGCCTAAACAAACGGATAACCTTAAACGAACCGATAACCAAGTCCAGATGCTTTTCATTGAAATTTTATCACATGGTCTCCTATAGGCCCATTCAGAGCGGCAGGCATTCAACATTTTTCTGCTGGTCGCTCTGTAAAGAAACCCAAAACTTGAATTAAATGCGTAATTTCGATGTGTGTGCTTCACAAGGGGATCGGAGTGGTAGGCCAGCCACACTCCAAACCCCATTTAATCAAATTATTTCCAGATGTTGACTAATGAGTCACTGTATTTTCCCTCCTTCTCTCCATTTTTTGCAATGGAGGTGGAAGCCCTCCCTCCAGCCAACTGATAAATCCTTAAAGTTTGGGTCAAGAAAAAGAGAAAGGGAGTATTCAGTTTGTGTTGGTAATACTTCGCCAAGCCTTAACCTAAAACCTAGAGTGCAAGTTTATCAAATAAAAGGATTCATTGAAGAAAAGAATAGATTAAATGATGTAACTTTGTTTTGGCGGCACAAATGGTGATTTGGACCACATTAAAGGCATAAATGACCACCTAAAGCCTTGCCTTTTCCCTTTTTCTCTTTTTTCCTTGTCCATATGTTCAAGAATCCATCAAAACAGCACTTTTACAGGAATACTTTGGCAGCTGGTGAAAGGCTCTTGGACTCAACGGCCTGTGCTGCTTTGCTTTCATTCCTTTTTTGGCTCCGTTATGAGTTCCTTAGCACCAGCTGCTAGACTCTCACTTCTCTACCTTCTGTCTTTGGGTCTTGCTTTCTCTCCCTCGCTTTCTTGCAATTGCTTCACTTTTTTTTAAATTTCATAATCATGTCTCCCTCTTCTTTCCCTCACATTTTAACATTAGAAAGTACAAGAATTGCAAATCTAATCTGTCTTTTTCTCCATCCTTTTGCTTTTCTCCTCTCTTCCTCCCCCCGAGTGAAAGCGGCTGGTTTTCAAAATTAGCCATTTTCTAAAAATAGTTCTTGCAGGTTTCTCCACTTATTTTTTCCTTTTGCATTTCTGGAATTCCTGACCAGTAAACCTGGGTTGATGAAGGAAGGTCAGCCGGTGCTGACATAATCAGATTGCCTTAAAAGGCACAGTCAATAAAAGGATACAAAGTCAACAGATTCTGTGTGCAGTGCATTTCTTAAATATTTACTGAAGGGATGAGTACAAATAAGCAGCAAACAAAGGGTTCAGCTTTTTCCCAGTAGCATGGCACTTGAGCAAGTAGTGGTGAAAAACAACAGTGCAATCTTCATTTCCGTCAATCAATCAACCATGTTTTCCTAAACTGTAGTGTTGTAATGTCCAAAGCGTTCTACAGAAATGTTTTGTTTGTTTCATGCAAATGAACGGATCCAAAAACTATTTGGTGATTTTGTGGCATTTTAGATCTTTTTATATTGAATTATTTAGTTAATTAAATTATTTAGCTGCATGTTGTTGTCAACCAAGTTATATAAATTAGGATGCATTCAAAGTTTTTTTTTTTTGTAGTAGTAGTAGTAGTAGGCTTAAAGTTACCTGTTCAAGTATAATGGTAACACTCAAATTATCCACTCAATTAAAAACCATCAATGTATAAGTGCAAGATCTGATGAAATTATATCATCTGATAATTGTGCATTTAAAAATAAACGCACTGCTCCCCTCAGGAAGCTTCAAAGTAGTTTTGGAATATTTTTTTAGTATATTACAGTGTAGCTGACTACTTTTTCAAAAGGTTGGTTTGACTTGGAAAGCTACAGTACAGTTTCAAAGTAGGTTCTCCAACAATATAAAAAATTATGGCAGGTCTACACAAGACATTTAGCCTAGCCTTTTTTTTTTTTTTTTTTAGGAATGGAAGGGAAGAAATGGGATCAATTGTGACTCAAACTCACATCGCCCACAGGACCACGGTTCCAACCAAATTCCCAGTTGTGTTTTTCGAGTCTCCAGCTCTTCCTCAGCCGAGTCTGCTGTATTCGGGGTCAGTTAGGTCATAGTTTGAGTGATTTAGAGATGCTAATGGGAGAGAGGTGCATATGGTTCTGCATCCATATGCTGATAGCATGCAGCACTGCTTAAATAATCGCAGCCTTCTGTCAAAGGTTACATGAAGTAACCCATTCAATCTTGCAGTAACCCATTCAATCTGCCAAATTACAAGGTTTGTTACTAGTGGAGATGAAGCAGACCCCTCAGCAGACACAAAAATCACTCTCATATTCCTGCACTTCCACACATTCCTGTCTAATTTAGCTACATGTCTATAAAATGCACTTACACAAATCCAGCTCCTACTGTTTTATGGAAACCAGAGAAGCGCCTGACCTTGCATAAAACACACACACAACCATCAAAGTCATCTGCTTTGAATCAGAGAAAACTGTTCAGACATCACTGCTCAGCTGATTACAGAAATTATCTAAACAGAGCTTATTAAAAAATAATTTAATAAACCATAATTAAATTACATTGAATTAACTTAAATAAATATAAAAAGGGCTTTCTAAAATTACAGATACTAATAACAGCATACATTACAGACTTGCAATCACTACTGTTAGTTGTTTGTAGTAGAGTGACGTTACGAGCTCATCTTTTACTAAATGATGTGTTTATTATTAAAGTCTATATTGCCTATCCTAATATAATGCCTTTGTTCTTTTCGTCAGAATCCACTTCATAAGTCACAAAAAAAAACATAAGTAAAACAGTGCACAAACTTTTCTGTTCTTATCTTCCTCTGAAGCCTTTTGTATTGTATCTGAATCATATGCAGACTTGACAGGAAGCTGTTGAGTTAGTCTTTCTATCGGTCCTCCACACCATAACGTAAAACCCAGAGCTGATGATGTTCACACTGCATTAAACACTACAATTTGTTGTACCATTAAAACAAGATCGTGACATGAGGTCAGGCACGCGCCCATTAACTTCGAAGTGGTGACATTTGTCAGTGGCATTTGTGCCTCTATAAAACAGTGAAAAATACCTCAAAGTTGTTTACAAACGTGCCCTTTACAAAATAACTGTAAAATGCGGGTCAGTGCAGATTATGGTTTAATTAGACCACCAATCAGCTTCTATCCAGACATTTTAAGCAGTCAGGTTAAGCATCTTTGTTTTGGCTGTGCGCATGAGTGGAGTTTCTGTTTTTAACGGCTGCTATCACAGGAAGAAGCTTCTAGATGACAGGAAGCTGTTGAGTTTAAATATTTGACAATTAGAGGACTCCCTGTTTACGGAGCATGTCCTGCTTTGTGTGCGTACATGTGTCTGTGCGCGAGACATGCAAACAAACTATGAAATTGTAATGAGCAAAACAAGTTTATGAACTACATTCTGTATTATTATTGCATAAAAATTGTATTAGACTATAAAAGTGGACGGTCCTGTCAAATAAAAGATTTATCCAAAAACAGCTGACGAAACTGAAAGCATAACGAAACAGCGCTTAGAGAGTTACTCGCTGTCTC